AATTTTCAGTATTTCTTTTTAAATCAATTTTTAAAAATTGAGGTATAGTTTATTTATAATATATTAGTTTCTGGTATGCACCATAGCGATTCAACATTCTTATAGATTATATTCCATTTAAAGTTATTATAAAATATTGAAGAATTAGCTGAGGAGATTTCCAAGTAAAGGGTGGAAAGTATGGCTAATTTTCTTTTGCTGCTTATAGTAAAATGTGAGAAGAAAGATTAACTGAGGTACAAACTGTGAAAAACAAAAAGAAACCAGTGTGATAAATTGGAAAATTCTCAGCCTATCCAGACAAAAAAAAAATTGGCTATATTTCCTGTGCTGTACTATAAATCCTTGTAGCTTATGTATTTATTTGATGGTAGGATAAATTTTTTTAATGTAGGTACTGAGGGTTTAACCCAGGACCTCATGCATGCTAAGCGCATGTGCTCTACCATTGAGCTATTAATCCTCCCCCTATAATTTTTTAAATTGAAGTATAGTTGATTTACAATGTTGTGTTGGTCTCGTGTACAGCATAGTGATTCAGTTGTACGCATATATATTCTTTTTCATTATAGGTTACTATAAGATACTGAATATAGTTCCCTGTGCTATATAATAGGACCTTGTTGTTTATCTTGTAGCTTATTTTATACATAGTAGTTTGTACCTTTTAATCCCTGTCCTTATCTTGCCCCTCTCCCTTCCCTCTCCCCATTGGTAATCACCAGTTTATTCTCTGAGTCTGTTTCTGTTTATTATATTCATCTATTTGTTTTATTTTTAGATTCCACATATAAATGATTAAGATACAGTCTTTCTCTGTTTATTTCACTAAGCATAATACCTTCCAAATCATCCATGTTGTTCCAAGTGGCATTATTTCATTCTTTTTTATGCTTGAGTAGTATTCCATATTGTGTGTGTGTGTGTGTGTGTGTGTGTGTGTGTGTGTGTAATACCTTCTTTATCCATTTATCTGTTGATAGAACTTAGGTTGCTTCCATGTCTTGGCAGTTGTAAATAATACTGCTATGAACATGGAGGTACATGTATCTTTTCAAATTAGTGTTTTTATTTTCTTTGGATATATATACCCAGAATTGGAATTAACAGATCATATGGCAGTTTTATTTTTAGTTTTTTAAAGAATGTCCATACTGTTTTCTGCAGTGGCTGCACCAGTTTACATTCCCACTAACAGTGTACAGGGTTCCCTCTTTTTCAACTTTCCTGAAAAACTTGGTTCTAACAATTTTTTTCATTGCTTTTATGGAGGAGAGAATTTTCAGAAATCCTTACTCCACCATTAATGATATCTTTTAGGTAGATATTCTTGAATAAATACTCTGTAATTTGCTATATACTCTTTTTGGTTATTTCCCATAGTCTTTCAATGGTTGTTTTTGAAACCTTTGCCAGTTTTATCATTCTTTGGGGAAAGGATTTGCTGTGTTAGGAGTTCCTCACTCCAGAAGTCCTGCCTCTTCATTTTAGAATTTAATACCCAACTGAAGTATAACCTCATTCAAGACATAGGGCAAAATACATTTTTGAACAAAAGAAAACACTTTTGTCATCCATCAACAGAAGTAATATTAAAGGATTTATATATGTGTATATATATATACATACACACACACATATGTATATGTTTATACTTTAGCAATATGAAAGAAGTTTAGAGGGGAGCAAGACATTGAATACAAGAAACAATGATAGGTGTCAAGTCCTCTATCACTGAGTGGTAACAAGAAGAGGGAGACTTTTAATGAGATCCTCTTCTATTTAACCTTTTGCAGCTGGGAGCAGATTTATTTAATGTGATATAAAAACAGTGATCTAATAATCAAATTTAAAGCATATTAATAGTGTGCAGATAAGATCTTGTATCTTAATCTCATGTTACTAGAGTTCTTTTAGTTTAAAGTAATAACAAACTTAATAGAGGGAAAAAGTATGTTTCTAAATAACAAAGCCTTTGTCTTTAACAGGTGAGAGGAATGACGTGTGCCTCCTGTGTACATAAAATAGAGTCTACCCTCACAAAACACAGAGGGATCTTCTACTGCTCTGTGGCCCTGGCAACCAACAAAGCACATATTAAATATGATCCAGAAATTATTGGTCCCAGAGATATTATTCATATAATTGAAGTAAGTCCCAACACTTTGCATTTCTGTGTTCTCACCTATTCAGTCAGCACTCCCTTGAATCATTTCTGGTTTGTGTCAGATAGAGACAATGAAAAAATCTGACTGTTTTGTTACTCTGTGGACAATATCTGTCTTGAAGTTTAATGTAAATATGTCTGTCCTTTTTTTTGGTCTTTGTCAGGAAGAGTTAGGCAGAGGCACATTAGCACTGTTAATCAGGAGCAGACTTAAGGTAGAACCACAGATCATTTTAAACTATTTAGAAAATGTGAATAAAGTACAGTTTGTTAGGAGTAAAATTCATGTTAATCACTAAGAAAGTAAAGCATCCTGCCAGATGCTTTATTGTTTGTTAGGTCAAAGCAAATGATATATTTTTTTCTTATTTATTTATATAAAATTTTCTGGGGGGGAGATAGTTAGGTTTACTTATTTATTTATTGTTAGAGGAGGTACTACAGATTGAACCCAGGACTTTTGTGGGCATGTGCTCTGCCACTTGAGCTTATACCCTCCCCGTCACAAATGATATCTTTTTAAGTTAAAGTAAGAAATTTAAAAGACCAAACCTTTTCCTTTGTGACAAATTCATTCTGTATTCTTCAGTAAATCTTAGAGGTAATACATGTGAAAGTGTTTTAAAAGTTTCAATGTGGTATAGCATTTGGTGTTCTGATGATCTAAAAAGCATATTAATAGTTCAGATAAGAGCCTGTTAATGTAGATCGTAATACCAGTAACATCTTTGTGAAGCTGTAGCGTTAGTGAGTATTTACTATGTGCCAGTTACCAAGATTGCAAAGCTTCAGCTCTTGATTTAATTCTCACAACAGTGCTGTCATCTTCATTTGGAGGAAACTCAGGTTAAGAGATGTTAAGTTACTTACCCAAAGTCTCATAGCCAGTAAGTGTCATAGCTGGAATCTGAACCTAATCTTTCTAACTCCAGTGCTCAAGCTTGTTCTTTTCACTGTGCTACACGACCAACAAATGTAAGATGGCAGCATTTTCCCTTGCAGTTCAAAATAATAGTGTATGTTACTGTCTATGCTCATATAAGTCTTGCTTAGGTGTAACTTTCTTTCAACGTTTTGTTTTATTGAGGAAATTTTTCATTTGTGTCCTTTTTTCTGATAGAACAAGAGTAAAGACTGCAAATTCTTGTATAATATATTTAGTATGGTGGTAGCTTTTATGGCCTAGTATTCAGTTTTCTGTACTTGTTCAGGGGATGGATGGGTAGATGTCAAAACTAAAATTAAAAATAAAGTGATAAATATTCATCAGTACTAGTAGATGCTTGTCTAAGAGCAAAATTTATGATTTTACTGATAAATTCTTTCTTTATTACATCATCAAAAACTCTGTCAGCCTGACCAAGTTATAGATTCAGCTTTTTTCCAAAATTACTTATTGGAGGCTTTCATTTACTTTTTGATATAATAAGAGTCTCTCCAGAGAACAACAGCACTTGAGTTAGATCAATAGTTTGAGAACAGTAGGATAGACATTAGCTAGAGTTGAGGAAATATTTATTTCTTAGATGAAAGATTAGAAACAAAGGTAATTAAGAGAAGGAAGCACAACTTCATCTTTGTATTCCCCAGGGTATTTACACTCAGTAATTGAGTTGCATTGTCCTCAATGACAATACCATGACTTAGAATTTCTGTACATAATATTGATACATTCAGTGAAATAATTGTTCTCTTATGAATTTCCTTAGAGCTTAGGTTTTGAAGCTTCTTTGGTCAAGAAGGACCGGTCTGCAAGCCACCTAGACCATAAACGAGAAATAAGACAGTAAGTGCTTTTGGAATGTCAGCAAAAAGCAGATTTTTGACCCCTCGTTACAAGTTTAACATTCTGTTAGTATGTCAATGTTTACAATATCATCCTTACACTGGGTGGGAATTGGTCACAATTTGTATTTCCCTATAGTACATAGGATCTTTAACCATTAGCTACCTACTCAAATGATTTTTCTTTTCTATAAGATGGCGACGGGCCTTTCTTGTGAGCCTGTTTTTCTGTATTCCTGTAATGGGGCTGATGATATATATGATGGTTATGGACCACCACCTTGCAACTCTTCACCATAATCAGAACATGAGCCAAGAAGAAATGATCAGCATTCATTCTTCTATGTTCCTGGAGCGCCAGATCCTGCCAGGATTGTCCATTATGAATTTGCTATCTTTTTTATTGTGTGTACCTGTACAGGCAAGTGAAATGTTAGCAAGTATATTTGTTACTAATGAAAAATAGCTAAAATGTGGCAGGCGGGGCTATTTTAGTTGCAAAACAAATACTATCCAGAAGTATGATCATTTTATGCTGGATGCTTTACAAAAAGAACCTTAAACTGAGTGGTTAAAGTAGATAATAAATTCCATTATATTTATATTAATTATATTATAAATAAATTCTATTTTAAGGTATTTATAATTAATTTATTCTATAAAATAACCATAATAATTATTATATTATTATTTTTGTTATTTTTCTATGGCACTTAAGTTCATTAGTCTCTGTATGTTTTCAGCCCTTCTTCTGAGGTAAACTTTTACTGTGGAACACTTCCATCTAATAGATATATTCCCTTTTCTGATCCTTGTAAAAAGCAATAAAGATTTTAAAAACATCTTAGTACATTTCTCTGCACTAATGAAAAATAAGCTTTTCAGTTATGTTTCTCAACAAAAACAGTGAATAGATCCAATAGGTTGTGATATACCACTTAGGTTGAATTTTGAAAAGAAGGAGGTGAATTTTATATAAAAAAATCATTTTTAAAAGATTGGAATTATTTTCCTAGTTCTTGTTTTTCCTAGCTTTAAAAGGAAAAATTCAAGAACTATTTGACTTTCTTTATATTATGGAATATCCATTGGATCACAGATGACAGCTGTCAAGGGCTTATACAGCCATTTGAATCCCTACACACACATATCTACTAAAATACAAACATTATTGTTTCAGCTTAAAATCTCTCCTTATTGTTTATGGATTAGATAAAAGCTAAAGGAAGTTACCATTGATACTATATCTTAGTTATTAAGGTATATATGTGAATTTCAGCATTTTTAAAAAAGCAATGATTACTGTTTCTATATTACAGTTTTTTGGAGGCTGGCACTTCTACATTCAGGCCTACAAAGCGCTGAAGCATAAGACTGCAAATATGGATGTACTGATTGTGCTGGCAACCACCATTGCATTTGCTTATTCTTTGGTTATTCTTCTGGTTGCAATGTATGAGAGAGCCAAAGTGAACCCTGTTACTTTCTTTGATACTCCTCCTATGCTATTTGTGTTTATTGCACTAGGCCGGTGGCTGGAACATATAGCAAAGGTAAAGTGAGAAAGATTGACGTTTGTTCAAATCTTGGGTGGATAAATGACGGTAGTATATTCTAGACCAATTATTGGAAATATACATCCATTTATGTAGTTAACCATGTACTGAAAGAAACATTTTTGTTTTGGCAGTATTTTAGGTTAAATATTCCTTTAGAAGATTCACCAAATGTATGGAATTTGTACTGTAGATTGTACAGTATGTCCATGTTTATTTTTAAGGGAGAGACATTTGAGAAGTACTTGTTTTATTTATATCACATTATTAATGGAAAAATTAGTGTGCCCACAAGTTTTAAAATAATGATGGGAAATAATTTACCCATTATCCCATGCTGTAATGAAAATTACTTTCTAATCCTGTTCCACATACCTTTATATTGTACAGAGTGGCAAACACTGTATACCTACCACTTTGTACCCTTAACACTATAAAGTTTTCCTCCCATTTTTGCAGTCTAGATAATTATTCAGTATTTCTGAATACTATTCTCTCAAATCAGTGTGCTTTAATTTACTAAACTGTTCTGGTTTTATTCTCAGTTAGATTGTTTCCACTGTATAAGTTTAGATAATCCTGCATTAAACATATTCATGTTTAATAGTTATTTCTGTTGAATTGGTATCTTAGGATAAATTACAAAGGATATAAGGATATTTATAAAGGGCATAAATCTTTCTATGGCTCATGCTACTAATCTTAATTTTTGCCATTACAGGTATGTTAGTGAAGTAGTTTTGCTACAATTTCATCCATCAGCACTGACTCTTATCTAAATTCTTGCTAAATTAGTAGGCATTAAATGGCATCATAGAGTTGCTTTAGTTTGCATTTCTTCCATTAATAGCAGGGATAAACATTTTTCCATGCATCAGGTATTATATTTCTTCTTAAATGAGTTGCCCATTTATGTCCTTTGCCCATGTATCTTTTGGGTTCCTGATGTTTTTCTTATTAATTTACATTATTTATTTATAAATTATACCTAATAATACATTTTATATTTTGTGTACTTCTTATTTTTGAAGTGAAAAATTTTCTAATTTGAATGAATTAACATTCCTAAAGCTGTCTTTTAGGTAAATGTTAAAGATTGTATCTTTATTTTACATAAGCCTTTTTCTTCCTTAGCATTGTTAACATGTTTCTTTAAATTTATAGGGCAAAACATCAGAGGCTCTTGCCAAACTAATTTCATTACAAGCTACAGAAGCAACTATTGTTACTCTTGGCTCTGATAATATCCTCTTGAGGTATTTATCTTCATTCTACCTCCTCTTTTTAAACTTCTTATGAAAAATATAAAATATGCACAGAGATAGGCTATAATGAATCCACATAATCTACCTTCCAGATTTAACAATTATTCACATTTTGCCACACTTTGCTTCATCTATGCATTCCTGTCTTTCTTTTATTTGTAGCAATAGTATTTTAAAGTAAATCCCAGTCATATCATTTTACTACAGATATTCCTATAGTATTTCTAAAATAGGAGATATTCTTACCATATCACATCTAATAAAATGAACAATAATTCTTTAGTATTATCTAATACACAGTCATATTCACATTTCTTCTGTTGTCTCCAAAATGTTTCTTTGTTTGAAATGGAATTCAAACAAGGTCCCTGCTTCACTGTATTTGTATTGCATTATAGTTGATGTACAATATTATATAAGTTGCAGGTGTACAATATAGTGATTCACAATTTTTAATGGTTATAATTCATTTACAGTTATTATAAAATATTGGCTATATTCCCTGTGCTTTACAATATATCCTTATAGCTTTTTTTATACATAATAATTTGTACCTCTTAACTCGCTAACTCTATAGTGCCCTTCCCCCTTTCCGTCTCTCCACTGGTAACCACTAGTTTGTTCTCTATGTCTGTGATTCTGCTTCTTTTTTGTTATATTCACTAGTTTGTTGTATTTTCATACTCTATATGTAAGTCATATCATACAGTATTTGTCTTTCTCCTGACATGTTTGTTTTGATCTAGAACAGCTCCTCCCTCCAGTTCTCCGTCCCCCCTTCCTACCCCATTCCTCCCTCTTCATACAATTGACTTGTTACAGAAACATCTATCAATTGTCCTGTAGAATATCCCACAGTCTGAATTTATCTCCGCTTCCTCCTGGAATCATTTAACTTGTTCTATAACTCCTGTAACTGTCTGTAAACTGGAAGTTAGAGCTAAAGCTTGATTAGATTTCATTGTTTTGTGTTTCTCATTTCTTTCCTCATAAGATGATTTAGGCAACTTTACACAACAAATAAATTGTTTTATTAAATAAAACTCATTATATTATTTATAAAGGTTTCACTTATTTGTCCATTGACCATTCAACAAGTATTTAGAGTGCTACTTTGTGCCAGGCAATGAGCTATTCCCCAACAGTGAAAAGGACGGCCATTGTAGTTCCTTGCTTAAATGTTGGTTCTAACTTCCATTGGTAGCAATTATGGAGCCACAAGCTTGATATGAACTAAAAAGCTTACATGGAAAGATCAGAAGGAGAAGCATATTGTCATGATGCTTTTTATTTTTACTCATATCCAGTGAAGAACAAGTGGATGTGGAACTTGTACAACGTGGAGACATCATTAAAGTGGTTCCAGGAGGCAAATTTCCAGTGGATGGTCGTGTTATTGAAGGCCATTCTATGGTGGATGAGTCCCTCATCACGGGTATGTTCTTTCAGAGGATCATGACATGAAAGTGAAGTGAATCCAAAGTGTTAATTAAGAATAGGCATGAAAGTTGAAGAGCTTTTGTAGAAACTATGAAATGAGTAAATAATATGCAAAGAGAATATGGTTTCTTTTTAAGACTGTATTAAATCAGTTTCTGTAGATTTACCTTGTGGTTTTAATTATGCTATTGAAGGCTCTTTTCACTCAACATTGTTGGTTACTAGCAATGTATGACCAGAGGAAGTTGTCTCATTTTGCTGTAGAGCCCAATAGACTTTGACAAATTTTCCTGAGCAAATACCTATTGTGTCTTCCCGCTTTAAAGATCAATCTAGTCTGAGCTGGGATAGGACTTCAGGTTTTCTACATTAAGTCCTGCTCTAAAGAGAGTAGGTCTAGAGTAGTTTTAGAGCTCCTAGATGACTAAGGCCAAGCCAGAGCAGAACCAAAATAACACCTTTCCTACCTCAACCCTCAAGATAGTGCCGAAGAGGCTCAGCTTATGAACCGTGTGGAAATAATTTAGGATTCTGTGTTTCTCAGTAGGGGTACTATTGCCAGTTTGGTTGGGGACAGTTCGTAGTTCTGTGGGACTGTTGTACATGTGGTACATTTAGTGTCCCTGACCCACTAAATTGGAGTAGCAGCACCCCATGCCCCACCAGTAATTAGTACAAATGAGAACTCTCTCCTACATTTCTAAATGCTCCTTGGAAACAGGTTGAAAACCAGTGCTCTAAGGCTAGTGTGAAGCTCCAAAAGTACCTGCCACTAAGAGCTAACACATTAGGTCTTTCTGGTTTAAAATATACATCCCTGGGTTTGGCCCAGAACTAACGTAAGGAAAAAGAGAGTGCAACTTTCACGTAGGCATTTGTCCAGATTCTATTTCATGAGGTAAGAATCTCCTATCGAGATATTTTTTGATGATAAACAAATAATGGTATATTTCAAGATAGTATTTATTTATGCTCCCTAAATCTATCTTTACTTCTTGTATAGGGGAGGCAATGCCTGTGGCTAAGAAATCTGGCAGCACAGTGATTGCTGGTTCCATTAACCAGAATGGGTCACTCCTTATCCGTGCAACCCATGTTGGAGCAGACACAACCCTTTCTCAAATTGTCAAACTTGTGGAGGAGGCACAAACGTCAAAGGTAATTTAACTCCCTAGGAGAAACAGAAAGTATTTGCTTTAAAGCTCGCTCAGTATCAATCTTCATCTAGTTTTTATAATTTCCTTTATTTCTAGTTGTATTAATATGAAGTTCATTAAAGTATTTGTTTGTGCTCAATACTATACCCTGTATTCATTATCAAAAAAGGAGACTTTGATATACATATTATCATTATTATTATTTTTTTAATTTTAGGCTCCTATCCAGCAGTTTGCAGACAAACTCAGTGGCTACTTTGTTCCTTTTATTGTTATCATTTCCATTGTTACCCTTTTGGTTTGGATTATAATTGGATTTCTGAATTTTGAAATTGTGGAAACCTACTTTCCTGTAAGTGACTTATAACACCTCTTTATCATGTAAAACAGTTTGTGAATCTTTTGCATAAGTAATTAATTGGAAAATAACTTTAGTAATGACTAGTATCTTTAACAGACTGGAGTGAAAGAAAAACATTAGCATCTCTGTAAATGGAAAAGATTTCCTTTTGGAAAGATATTTTTCATTATGACTTGTGATTTTCCAAAAAGAAGTACAGGAATACCTCATTTTATTTCATTTTGCTTGATTGCGCTTTGCAGATGTTGTGTTTTTTACAAATTGAAGGTTTTGTGGCAACCCTGTGTCCAGCAAATCTACTGATGCCATTTTTCCAACAGCATTATTTTTTAATTAAGGTATATACATTGTTTTTTTAGACATAATGCTATTGCACACTTACTAGACTACAATATAGTGTAAACGTAACTTTTATATTCACTGGGAAACCTAAAAATTCATGTAACTCACTTTAGTGGAATATTTACTTTATTTTGGTGGTCTGGAACTGAACCCACAATATCTCTGAGGTATTCCTGTACTGAACTTTCACATTTTATATTTAGTCTCAGTCCCAGCATGATTTTGCTTTCACAAAGGACTATAGAAATATTGAGAGAAACCTTGGGATCTCAGCTCTGCCACATATCATCAGTGTGATCTTAGGTCAACTTAATTTCTCCTTGAGCTTCAATTTCCTTACATCTGTAAAGTGACATTTTAATAATTCACATCCAACATAGCTAGCAGTCATCGTAAAGGTTAAATAAGATGATTATATTAGAAACACTTTATAATTTATTAAATGCTTTGTAAATATTAGTGTCTTCTTCATTCTAGTTCTGTGATAGTCTCTAAAGTATGATGTCATACATAAAGTGGTAAAGTAGATCTTGACTGTGCTTCATATTAGAGATAAAACCTTGAAGTCACTTAACTTCTCTTAACCCCAGTTTTGTCATCTGCAGTATAGTGATAATAATACCTAAATTTCAGGATTGAAATTAGTGTAGGTGAAAACATACACATAATGACATATATGAAAGCATAAGCTTAGATGTCTGAAAATCCCTTCCAAATCTGTTTCTATGTATGTGTGTGTGTGTGTGTGTGTGTGTGTAAAACTCTTAGGTGAACACTTAAAGTATTTGAGAACTTAGTAAGAACCTAGCACTGTAAAACCATTATTACTAAGAAAGTCTTACTTTGTTGTGTTTCTTTTAAAAATGCCATTCTGTATACTGTTTCATGCTGTATGTCCCTTCAATTAAAGAAAAGGTAGAACTATAACAACTATGTATCTATGCCATAATATGGTATTAGTATAATATAAAAAAGTTTCTTTAAATGGTTCACATTGGTTAAGTACTCATTGAACAAGAGGATTGCTGAAAGCATTTTGGAATGTGTATCCTTCAGAAATTTTTCTTATCAGTTCAGGGGGTCTGAGGAGATTTCCTCTAATACTGTCAATCATATTTACCCACACAAGCAAATATTCAATGTCACTAAGAGCTATACTACCAGATACTCAGTTCACCTTGTTTTGTCCAAAAGAATTTTATTGAAATATGATTAAGCAACCTTTTCAAGCTGGGTGATTTTTTCCATTGTCTTTAAAGAATAGTGTGAAGGACAGAGATATGGTCTTAGTGTATATAGAAATACAGAATTATTTTTGTTCAGGATCACACTTGTTGAAAATTAGGTCCCATGTTTGCAGCTATTTTTGAAAGTCCCTAATGAAAACGCTTATTCTCAATATGGGTGGGAGAAGCTGACTTTTATGTTCCTCATATTCACTCCATAGTTTTGTAACTCTTGAATCAGCAAAACTGAAATCTTGATTTTAGGACTGTGCCTTGTTTGCCCAGTTATGTCACAATTTTTTATACCATAAAAGAAAAAAAGTACTTTCTTACTAGTAACTAAAACATGTTTGCAGTTAAGTAGAATTATGTGTGACTCCAAAACTATAGTTTTATGTAAATAGAGTTAAGCTTTGTTCCTTTTGTTTTATACAGCTCTAAGTCAATAATCCAAATCCATGCCTTTCTTCTCAAGGGCTACAACAGAAGTATCTCCCGAACAGAAACGATAATACGCTTTGCTTTCCAAGCCTCGATCACAGTTCTGTGCATCGCATGCCCCTGTTCACTGGGACTGGCCACTCCAACTGCCGTGATGGTGGGTACAGGAGTAGGCGCTCAGAATGGCATACTAATCAAAGGTGGTGAGCCATTGGAGATGGCTCATAAGGTAAGGTAGTCCTCCAGAACTAAGAGTTGTCCCATCCAAACTGGCAATAGCACCCCTATTGAGAAACACAGAATCCTAAATTATTTCTACACAGTTCATAAGCTGAGCCTCTTCTGACACTATTTTGAGGGTTGAGATAAGAAAGGTGTTATTTTGGTTCTGCTCTGACTTGGCCTTAGTTATCTAAAAGCTCTAAAGGTACTCTAAAAAACCTGAAGTCCTATTCCAGCTCAGACTAGATCAGCCTTTAGGGCAGGAAGACACAACAGGTATTTGCTCAGGAAAATTTGTCCAAATCTGTCAGACTTCTAACCTATTTGTACGTGACTCCGTGTTTTGTTTTCTTTGCTGTTAGATAGTGCTTGTAGTTACATTGTAGTTTCTCTGCTTTTGCTGCCACCAGCTGACAGTTTGCAACTATGACTTCAGGAATATAATTCTGCCCCTGACCTCTCTCATATTAGAATTTCCATCACAATCTCAATCAAGGCTACTTGACTTCAACTAAAACTATGTTTCTTTTAGTATGTTCTTATTAGGAGGATTTAAACTATATACAGATTCATGTAGTAAACACAGAATCCAACTTAGAACAGATTTGAAACCTCATCTAGCCTATGAATTCAGGCTATTAATTTTTATAGTAATTTTTAATTTTTACATAATTTCATACTTAAATAAAAGTTGCAAGAATAGTTTAAAGAACTCTTATATACCCTTTACTGAAATACGAGGCTCCTTTCCTAAGAACAAGGACAGTCTCTTACATAACCACAGTACAAAGATCAGAATCAAGAAATTGATATTGATATAATACTTTAGTCTAATCTATTGTTCATATTCCAACTTCCTCAGCTGACTCTATAGTATCCGTTATAGCTGTTTTTTCTCTTGTCCAGAATCATGCTTTGCATTTCGTTGTCATATCTCTTTTCACCTCAGTTGTTTAAGCTATTCATTTCTCAAGGTTTGTTTTCCGAGTTTACTGTGAGGTGACTGTTCTCTAATTCCAGACTCTTCCTTTTTCCTGTCTTGGCTGTTTCTCTCATTGGTTCCCTGAGCTGTCTCTTCCCAGGCCAAGCTTCTCATCTAAATCCAATAAAGTCAGAGCAACCTAGCTGGTCTTTTCTGGTGCATACTTAAACTTAATTACTTACCTTTCTCTTATAATCATCTGCCTACTGCCCGGATTTCCCCTACAGATCTAGAATTTATTAGTATTGAAAACCTTTCTCTTTTCCTAGAGGCACTAGAGGCACTAGAGGCATCTTTTAATTACCTATTAACAGTCATCCCTTAAGAATTAGTTCTAGTTGTTTAACATACATCGACAGTACATTTGCAAGGGAGGGCTTTTAGGTGTAACTAAGGGTATTTCTTCCCTTATTCTTTTTTCCTATTATTCTCCCAAAGACAATTTATTAAGTCCGATTAAATGAAAAGTCAGTTTATTGAGAAACAAAATAGTAATCTGTTTGTCAAAGTAAACTTTTTTCTCATTTCTGGAAAGCTTATATTAAGGATTATCAAGTCATATAGGTGCATTGTATTTTAATTTTCTTACAGGTAAAGGTAGTAGTATTTGATAAGACTGGAACCATTACACATGGAACCCCTGTAGTGAATCAAGTAAAGGTTCTAGTGGAAAGTAACAGAATATCACGCAATAAGATCCTGGCCATTGTGGGAACTGCTGAAAGTAACAGTGAACATCCTCTAGGAGCCGCCATAACCAAATACTGCAAGCAGGTACAATTTCTTCCTTGTTTTTTAATGATTTACGTATATAGTTGACATGAGGTTAGAGAGACTTGTGTTTTCTCATTTTATTTTATATGTTTTAATTTTTTCATAGAGGAAAGGATAAAGATGAAAACAGAAATTAACTATAATCCTACCACACAGATAAACCCCTGTTGACTAAAAAATTAAAATAGAGGCAATACATATTTATGGTACGAAAGTTCAGATAGTTCAGAATTACATGATGAAAAACGAAAGTCTTATTCCCTGCCTGCTTCTGTAATTCCTTTCTCCAAAGCTTAACAAGTGGTAACCTGATAAGAGTCTTTTTAAATAACTGCTTTATTGAGATAAAATTCACATACTATACAGTTCACCCTTGTAAAGTGTACAATTCAGTAATTTTTCATATACTCACAGAAGTGTGTACCTGTTAACCATTTCTAGTACATATAACAGCATTTATTAATTTTTAGACTTTATGGAAAGGTTATGCAATGACCAACCTTTGGTACCTTTTAAAAAATTATTAACTGATTTTTCCATTTCAGGGCATATAGATCTGCCTCATTGTTTTTAACGACTATTTTGTATTCCATTGTATGATTGGTTTTTTGGCTCTTAAAATGTACAGTTAACATCCTTGTCAGGTTTTGCAAGTTTATCTCTATGTTAAATGCCTGCCAATGCAATTGCTAGATCAAAGGATACATGCAGTTACATTTTGATGAATATTACCAGTGCTCACAATGACACATATTACCAACACCCACACAGAAGGCTGTACCATTTTATACTTTCACCTGAAGTTGAATGCCCATTTCCCCACATTCTTACTAATACTTTATTTTTTTTTAATTTAGTAAGTAAAAATTATTTATTCATTAATGGTTTACTTTGCATTTTTTAAATTGAACTACCATCAGTTACTATGTGTCAATTTCTGGTGTATAGCATAATGTCCCAGTCATGCATATACATACATATATTCATTTTCATTAAAGGTTATTTCAAGATATTGAATATAGTTCCCAGTGCTATACAGAAGAAATTTGGGGGTTTTTAATCTATTTTTATATATAGTGCCTAATATTTTACTTTGCATTTTTTAAATTATGAATGAGGTTGAGCATCTTTTCTCACGTATATTGGCCATTTGAATTTCTTTTTCTATATTCTGTATGCTGGCAACCTTTGCCTATTTTTTCATAAGATTGTTTACCTTTTTCTCATTGATTTGTATATAAATTTTTTGTAAATCATCTCACCTAATTTTACAGTTAAACTGGCAATTTCTACCATCGATGCTGCCATTTCTTTATTTGTTCTTTCCTTTTTACCTATTGCCTGTTACTAACCTGGCTTTTTTACACCCAAATCAAACAACTGAGAGGATTAAGATCTAAAGAGCCAGGAAACAATGATGGCCACCAAAATTCTTTGGCTAACTAAGGACACAGAGTCGTACTAGAGAGGCCCTCTGGCAACTAAAGGCCCCATTCTTTGTTACACTTTGCCCTGTACTGACCTGAGAGTAGAATATATTTAACTTGTAATTCTCTGCTGGAAAGGACAGAGAATATTGATTAACTTTCCACATTTTCTTTCCCTAAACTTGATATAAATCTCACAGAGTCAGATTAAAACAAAGGATTCTGAGGTTCTCCTGTAATTTTCAACGTTATACTCAATGCTCTGTTCCTTCATCCTTATCGAAATCTACTGTCAAATAGGCAATGATGAGTGACAGTTTTATTCTAAACATTTAGAATTAAGCAGGCATGTAGCATGTGTCTAAATATTTAGAATTAACCAGCAGTAATCTTTGATCTTGCTAATGATGACCTTGGATTATTAGTACAGCAGAGGAAATTCTTCTGTTTATTTATTAGGAGCTGGACACTGAAACCTTGGGTACCTGTACAGATTTCCAGGTTGTGCCAGGCTGTGGTATTAGCTGTAAAGTCACCAATATTGAAGGCTTCCTACATAAGAATAACTGGAAGATAGAGGAAAATAACATTATTCAAATAGATGCAAGTAATGAACAGCCATCACCTTCGTCTGCCATGATCATTGATGCTCAGCTCTCAAGTAAGCTAATTTTCTTTGTATTGCCAATTATGAGACAGTTATTAACATATATAACTTTATAATTCTGAACTGTTACATAAGAAACAAAAATTGGCATCATGGTTTTATTCTCTCAAAGCTGTTTTACTGTAGGCCTTCTAATTATTTCACTCAGGTTTCTCAAGAACAGTTTCCAATTGTGCTCCATGATTCCAATATAAGGTGATGAAATCTAGCCTTAACTGATCTTCCATCTTAGTTCAGCTGTCCTTCTTTTATTTCTCACTACAGTTGCTCCAAACCTTTTGTATCCTTCACAATCTCCTATGGCCTTCCCTCTACTTCCCTAAGTGAATTACCTGGCTTACTTTTGACACAGAAATTGAAGGTTCTAAGACATGTGTTCTTTCAGGTTATTTCCCCCTCCCAGAATATTTCCATTTTCAGGGGAAGAAGAATCCCTCATCTTGCCCAATGAATCCCCTCATCTTTGCTCTAGAGCCCATCCTCTTTTTTTGGTGTGTGTTTATTTTTTAATTACAATATTTTGTTTGTAATCAGTCTATAATTGATGCAAATTATGATGTTTAATTTTTTATTGAGTGTGGTCAGTTTACAATGTTGTAGTAATTTCCATTGTAGAGCACAATTTTTCAGTTATACATGAACATACATATATTCATTGTCACATTTTTTTCTCTGTGAGCTACCATGAGATCTTGTATATATTTCCTTGTGCTACACAATATAATCTTGTTTATCTATTCTGCACATGCCTCTCAGTATCTGCAAATTTTGAGCTCCCAGTCTGTCCCTTCCTACCACCCCTCCTTGGCAAACACAAGTTTGTATTCTATGTCTATAAGTCTGTTTCT